TCACAAGTGAAAATAACACTTGTCGGGCTGTGACAACCTTTTTCAGATAACGCGTAATTCTTCTTGACTAGCGGGCGAACGTTCCATTAGAGAGAGAGAGAGAGAAAGAGAGAGAGAGAGAGAGAGAGAGAGAGAGAGAGAGCAATTTATTCAACATGCGGGTGTAAATATTGCCGGCTTTTTATCACTAATAACGATGGCATCTTAAAATGGCGGCTGTCGTCACTTGCCTAACGAACCGCTGCGGAAATTCTGCTCGGATCAAGTAACCGTAAGAAGACGGTCACGGCCTGTTAACTTTGCGCGGGTTGTCGGCGAAGGGCATCCCTCTCACAACCCACGCGTGCAATTACGCGAGTGAATATTACACGAGGCAATTAGTTTGGTTAACGCTAATGCTCGATGTCTATCAACCTTCAGGCTGTTATATGACAGAGATTTTTCTGCTGGTTTACAGATCGTCCCCCCTACCCCCACCGCTTCTTCCTCGCCTCGTGCGAATCCTTTTGAGTGAGTAATGGGATAATGCTGCAATTGGGGAGAAAGAGAGTTGGAGGTGGCGGTAGACGTGGCATAAAACTTGACAGGAAGTCCATGGTAATTAAATATCATTGAGTACTGTTAGTAGCTGGCACAATTAAATGACTGATTGAAACACCAAAACAACTGAAAATTATCGTTTCGTTTGTTTCAATAAAACTCACATTTTACATTACATATAGTATATGTGATATATATATATATATACATATATATATAATACATATACATATACATATACATATACATATACATATACATATACATATACATATTACATATACATATACATATACATATACAATATACATATACATATACACATATACAATATACATATACATATACATTATACATATACATATACATATATCATATACATATACATATACACTATACATATACATTACATATACATATACATATACATATACATAATACATATACATATACATATACATATACATATACATATACATATACATATACATATACATATACATATACATATACATATACATATACATATACATATACCTATACGTATACGTATACGTATACGTATACATATACACATTTGTATACACATATATTTATATACTCATATTGCCTTCGACACATATCATATGTACAATTTAACATGGTTATCCCAATACATCTAGTAATACAAGCTATGACAAGATCTTCGTTTAACTACTAGGTTTCATCGAGAACATAACTGCAGGTGCTATAGCGGCGCACACTCACACGCGCACGTACGCGCATTAACACCCAATGCGCACATTTACAACATATGCGCTTATAAATTAATTTTACAGTGTATGTATGTATATCGTTGACTTTCCCTATATACCCTAGACTCCATTCATGTTAGCTGCAGCTGAACAAAAAGCCAATCATAGATTTTTGCTTATTACATTTTCCACCGTCAGTATACTGTCTTCCATTTGCATTAAGGTAGAAAAAAATAACAATAACAAAACATAAAATTTCAGGTTGAACTCTGGAATGAATTTCGATACGACATACAATAACATAATTCACACCAGTTGCCATGCCAGCCACGCCGCGTTCTGTTACTCGGATCCCATCCCCTATAAATTAGCTACGTGTCTTGCTGGCAGAATCCCCTCTTTCGTCGTCTTTCTTGCTTGGACCATTATATTAAGAGCTCATTAACGCTTAACGAGGGGTTAATGAGCTCTTGATCATATCCTTCTCGCTGCACACAAACTAACTCTTTGTAAGCGGTATACTCGCTGATACAGACCATCATCGTGCCATGATTCTGACGTCGTCCCGAAAACTAACCGATCCATCTGTTGGCACCATATCGGGAGTACGTGAATCGAGATGAAACGTAATAGTACATCTTTATTCATGTACTTACTTCCGATCTGATCACGCCTCCATCCCAGCTACACGCCAACTATATATGAAGTCCTGTCGCGGCAGCTACTGGCAACTGCAGCTCTCTGCCTACTAGTACATTCCAGTATGAAGGAGCATCGGGAAGTCATCGAGTTTACTGCATAGCTGATTAGCTGTGGTGCCGCATACTAATTCTATTATTATAATGTATGCTAAACTCTGGCGAGTGCGCAGCTTAGTACACGTCGCACGTTCGCACACGAATTCCCGCCGGATCCGGATCGCGAATATAGATTACTGAATACGTGATACACATGAGCGTACACAGCTGCGAATATATATATATATATATATCAGGAGTTAATAAAGACAAATCTTTATATTTGTCTTTATAAACTGCTGATATATATATATATATATGAATATAAATATATATATATATATATACCTCATATCATATCATCTGATTGTATATGGATATACGCTTGCTTCTGAATACTTGATACACATGTAACGTACGCAGCGGCGATTATATGTACATATATATACCTCTTATATATACCCTTTATATATATCATTCTTAATACGCTCTTGATATATATATATATATATATATATATCATATCGTCTGTTTGTATATGTATATGCGCTAGCTTCTATGACTGAGTAGCCAAGCCCACTATAGTCGCGTGCGTGACTAGAGAGTTCATAAGCGTTGCCCTAGATGCGGACGAAGGACGCAATCCACTGCATAAATCATTGCAGAAGCTCTCTCGCTCTCTATCCATCTGCGGGCTGAGTGGCTTTAAGATGGCGAGCGATCAGAGGTCGCGACGGGGGAAGACATCGTTTTTGACATGAATGATAAATGAATAAACATCATTCGATATTCATTTGACAGCATGATCGATGGCGTCGCGTTCGCGCCGCGCGAGTATAGAACGCGGGGCTCGCCGCATGTGCGTGTTCGTGGAACGTGTTTTCACGGATGCCGCTAACTACGCAACGATGAAACACAAACGCAGAAATGAGGAAAGCGTAGTTAGCTGCTGGCAGCAGCAGCAGCAGCATCCTTTCGCGCGCGCGAATCGTCTGCTGCGTGACGTCATCGGCGCATCGGCGTGTAAGGCGGATGGAATTGTATTATCCAATCAACCGCTGTGATTCACTTCGTCACGTAGTGTGGTGCGGCGGCCGTGCTTGCCGTCTTTGCATGCATTATGGCGCCTACACTCTCTCGTCGCATGCTTATGCCAGCGTCTTGCGCATCCACTTATATTACATGTGAATTCATTTGCGCTGCATTCGGGTTGATTTCTGCGTTTAGTCGCAGTTCCATCGGTAACATCGCGCGATGTATATATATATATATATATAATATATCGCGGCACATCTCACCAAAGACGCGACACACGTACGTCTTCATCTGCCCTCAGGCCGCGACGCGAACTCCGGCGGCGGATGCAAATCAGATGCTGCTACCGGAAGTGACGTCACTGGGCGTCTGTTTGCGCCATAACGGAACAGCGGCCGTTCATGTTCTGGCGAACGAGTGTTGACGCGAGAAACGGGTGTGCACACGCGTGCAGTGTACCTCTCTCTGTACCCGCACCGTATCGCCGCCCGACGATTGCGAATCGCAACAACGTCATCGTCATAAGATCTTTGTGGCAAACCGATGAGAAGCGTTGTGACGTAGCGACTTGTCATTATGTGGGATGCGGGACTGTCGCGGCGCCGCCTGGTTAAGATTTGATTGCTCGTGGCAGCGATTCCCCGACGGAGTAGTGCAGCGGTACAAACGCGTGGTCTTCATCAAAATGTCGAATTATCCGTCCTGTCCACAGGTTGGCTAACTCGCATCCAGGATATTCGCTGAAATAAATGAACGCCAGCATTAATTTTGACAGTTCTCGTCGTCGCAACGTCGGCTCCTAGCCTTCACTGCATGTCAGTGTACGTCGTCATCCGTGACGTCGTCATGTTAACTGACGTCACTATAACGGGCCGCTAGACGCGATGTCGTTCAAGCCGTTCGTAATATAACCCCTACCGCAATGATGATTAACCTTTTGTGAGTCACGGACCCTTTTGAGAATCTGGTGAAAGCTATACGGACCCCTCCACAGAAAAATGCACATAAGCACATAAACACAAAATTACGCATAGATTGTGATTCCCGGACCACCTGAAGCCCATCCACGGACACCCTGAAGCTCATCCACGGACCCCAAAGGGGTCCACGGACCACACGTTATGAAACCCTGCCCTATCGTAATTAGCTAACTAAGCTACTATCACACACTGCTGGCAGTTCGTCGTGGGCGCGCGGAATTTCGCAATGACTCGGCGCTGGAGGCCGTGACAAAAGGTATAGAATACTATCCAGCGGTCGTCTATGATGTTCGCAAATTTCTTGTTTTCGATGAGCTCGCGTTGATCTACGACGGCGGCGGCTCTAGCCCAGGGAAGCGGTTCGTTTTCATCGCGATCACGAGTGCGGAAAGACGCGGGAAATCGAGTTGCTTTGATCAGCATTGCCTGAAGAGCTACATCGATGCAGCGATGCGCCGAAAAAAACGCTCATACACTTCTGCTCGCGAGTAAATCGCCGAGACAGTTAGGTCTAGCAGCAGGAGCCGAAAACTGGGTAATTACGGCTGAGGATAGAAGCCAGCAACATAGTGTTACGTACTCCTCCGTGGAAAGGGAGAGATAAACAGCGTATAGATACACCTAACAGTAGCACGAACAGCTCAAAGTTACTCTTCCGTAAAATAATATATATATATATATATATATATATATAGTAATAAGCCGCTTATAGTTAAATTCTGGCAGCAAATGAAGACATAAACAGCTTGGTTAAACAGCCCAGCATAAAGCCCATGGTTAAACAGCCCAGCAGCAAGGGACGATGAAAAAACATTTATTTACTCCCGACAGCAGTGGAGGATATAAGCTATAGTTACTCCCAGCACCACGAAACGATGACGAAAACATTGTAATGACGCCTATAGTACTAGCAGACGAAGGAAGAAGTTACGTCTGCCCACGTTATAGCACGTACATATCTCACAACGCATACGTCACATCTCATACGCCGTATCTGAAACGTCACATGTCATACGCACAGGCATATCTCATCCGTCACATCTCATACGTACAGACGTATCGCATACGTCACATGCCCACAGCACCGCCGTAGCCCACATCACCGCCGTATACAATAATGTAACCCAAACACAGGATAGTGGGGGGATAACCCAAACACCCTATCCTGTGTTTGGGTTACATTATTGTATCTACGCCGTAGCGGGACGTGCACGAAGTGACGCCTTCACGATACATTGCTGATAATTATGTCTTAGTATACAATCGCGAGGCTGAGTGATCTAATTAGAACAGAATAGCTCGGTGAGAAACTACAGCACTGATGATCAGCGCAAGACAAAAGCCGGCCCTGCGTTTATTTCACAGCGTGCATGTACTTAAACCAGACCGCGATAGAACGCTCGTCATCTCTTATTTCCATATTTTGCGTGCCTATAACAATATGCAGATTTTTAGTCCAATACGTTCAAGATTCATGCGGTTTCTGTAGTAACACTATGAATATTAATTATCGCATGTTAATTTCACTCATCTCTGAGCGTCGTGAGTGCATGGGAACCGTACCTTTGTAGTATGTTAATGGCTTCATGGAAGGACATTTTCTGCCCTGAAAATAAATGAGGATGTTAGTACTTGAACGCAGGAACAAACTCGCGTACGCACTCGCACATTTATAACAAATATGTACACGCGTACTATAACGATGCAATTTTTCTACCAGCCTGGCACGACTGCACTTGCATCATATAGTCTGCATGGCTTGGCCAATTACCCAAATGCATTCACTATATAACGATGGGTGAAAAAATCATATGCCCTGTCGAAAGCATATGATTATGTCGAGTTTATTAAGAAACACGGTTGACATGTTTGGTGATTACTTATTAATCAAGCGAATCAGCATAAGTAACAAATTCACACGCACACACTCGTGCATTATACATGTGATTTTACGCGCGCGCGCGCGCGCAGACGCCATTTGTTGCCCGGTGACGTGACGCACCTGCTTCAGGTTGAACTCGATGTTGGCGCGGACTGGTCTGTGATGGAGCGGCTGAGGCGGTCTGTAGTTATTGCCGAGGTGCGCCTGTGGGTGTTGTATCGTGCCCTGGTGAAGCCCCCGCAACGTGTTCAGCTGAAATACAGCTAGATCGTAGCGTATGCGTGTGAGCGAAGGACGGGTGGGTGGGGGCGTGAGGCTTGTATGTGAGCGACGGACGAGTGGGGAGGTGAGGCTTGCATGTGAACGACGGACGAGTGGGTGGGGGCGTGAGGCTTGCATGTGAACGACGGACGAGTGGGTGGGGGCGTGAGGCTTGCATGTGAACGACGGACGAGTGGGTGGGGCGTGAGGCTTGTATGTGAACGACGGACGAGTGGGGAGGTGAGGCTTGCATGTGAACGACGGACGAGTGGGGAGGTGAGGCTTGTATGTGAGCGACGGGACGGGTGGGCGGGGACGTGAGGCTTGTATGTGAGCGAAGGACGGGTGGGTGAGGGCGTGAGGCTTGCATGTGAGCGACGGACAGGTGGGTGGGGGCGTGAGGATTGCATTGTGAACGACGGACGAGGTGGGTGGGGGCCGTGAGGCTTGTATGTGAGACGGACGATGTGGGTGGGGCGTGAGGGCTTTGCATGTGAACTGACGGGACGAGTGCGTGGGGGCGTGAGGCTTGTATGTGAACGACGTGAGAGTGGGTGGGGGCGTGAGGCTTGTAATGTGAGCGACCGGACGGGTGGGCGGGCGACGTGAGCCTTTGTAATGTGAGGCGACGGACGAGTGGGTGGGACGTTTTGTGCCTTTGTATGTGAACGACGGACGAGTGGGTGGTCGGGCGTGCCGGCTTGTCATGTGAGCGAACGGGACAGTTGGGTGGGCGTCGAAGGCTTGCATGTGAACGACGGACGAGTGGTGGGGGCGTGAGGCTTGTATGTGAGCGAGCGGGACGAGGTGGGCGGGGACGTGAGCTTGTATGTGAGCGACGGACGAGTGGGTGGGCGACGTGTGGCGTTGTATAATGTGAACGACGGACCGAGTGGGTGGCGGGCGTGAGGCTTGCCAATGTGAACGACGGGACGGGTGGGGGGACGTGAGGCTAGTATGTGGAACGACGGACGACAGTGGGTGGGGGCGTGAGAGCTTGTATGTCGAGCGACGGACGATGGTGGAGGACGTGATGCCTTGCATGTGAACGACGGACGAGTGGGGTAGGGTGGCGTGAGGACTTTGCATGTGAACGATCCGGAACGAGTGGATAGGGGCGTGAGGCTTGCAGTCGTGAAGATATGAACATAGATGTATAACATATTGACAAGAAAGCGGTGAGCGAAGAGAGCGAGAGCGAGGGCGGAAACGAGAGATAGAAGGGGGAAGAACAGAATATATGTAATACACAGCATACATCACACTCTTCTTGCTCCTCTTTAATATATATTATAAAATATATATATATATATATATATAATAAATAATATTACTATATAGAGAGGAGAGAAGAGAGGATGAGAGAGGGACGAAGAGAGAGAGAGAGAAGAGAGAGAGGGGGGGGAGGGGGCGAAGAGTAGAAGTTAGGAAAAGGTGCGCGCGCATGTTGGTCTTTGTTTGTTAGTTTTTTTGTGGACGCGTGGTGTGGAGCGTGCGTGCCTGTGAATGCGCCGCGTGGACGTCGCGTGCGGGTGTGCATGTACAGCGCTACGTGTGTGTTTGCTGTGGTGCGTCGTGGGTGTGCGGCGTGTGCATAGATTGATAGAAGATTGATAGATAGATGCATAGAAAGAAAGAAACAAACGAACGAAAGATAGAGCGAGATAGCTGGATAGAAAGAAGAAACACACAAACGAACCAAACACACACCCACACCACCCCCCCCCCCCCAACACACACACACCGCGCGACAACAGAGGAAGAGAGAGGGAGAGAGATGAGAGCGTGCAACGAGAAGAGAGAGAGAGAGAGAGAGAGACGAGAGAAGAGAGAGCGATGAGAGAACAGAGAGAGAGAGAGTGAGAGAGAGGTCGGATGAGAGAGGAGATGAAGCGAGGAGAGCAGAGAGAGAGAGAAGAGAGAGAGAGAGAAGGCGTGTACGAGAGAGAGAGAGAGAGTCAGAGAGAGAGAGAGAGAGACAAGCGAGAGAGCGAGAAGAGAGAGAGAGAGAGAGAGAGACAAGCGACAGTGAGTGAAGGGGAAAGCACGAAGGAAAAGCGACAAATAGAAATCAGTTTCGAGTTGGTCGAGTTCAACATACGTTTGCTCATCAAAAACACGGCGAAGAGCAGGCAGCATGATTTCTGTCATTCCTCAGATTTCTCCTCCCACTGCTCTCGTCTGTGTGCTGGCCAACGTCGATACGAGGCGATAACCTCTCGTCTGTCGTTAAAACGCGAATTCTTCCAGCGGCTATATCGGCCTCCAGCGACGGCCGGCGAGCACCGCCGGAAGCGCTAACCCGGCAAACGCGTAAGCTGTTTCTAGGCGATATGGAATGGAATTCTAATAAAAAACTGCGGTAGATCTCTGGGGACAGCGCCCGAACGCCCGCGCTTGGTTATTTGTGAGAAACAGCGGGGGACAGCATGACGCTAACGACAACGGTGCGTGTACGAGATTAGATATACTGGTCTTCCCGAGCATCGCGGAACGCGAGAACGAACACATGTTTTTATTCAGAGAGAATGTGCATCCCATAAATTCTTTCACCGAGCGCCGTCGCATTGCCGAAGAGAATCATACAGTTTCTGATGGGGAGAAAGAGAGAGAGATGAGAGAGAGCGCGAAAGAGAGAGAGAGAGAGAGAGAGAGAGAGAGCGCGCGAGAGAGATCGCGAGCGCGCCAGAGAAGAGTGCTGTAAATAAACCATAACTTAAAGATTTCACACGCCCCGCATATTGGTAGACATTCTACGCGCTAGATCATACACCGCGATATCAACGCTGCTTTCAAGCTGGTAATCAGCTCTTTGAAGCCGCGCTGGGCCTGTTGTCGAGCGATCGCATAGAAGCGACGGCATCTGTGATGCCACGCGGCAACTTGCACGTGAATAATAGAAACCCTTCACTCTAACAGCTAGCAGTTTTGAAGTGAGGCATCGAGGTTAACATTTTCAAATGTAAGTGCGTGGAATATTCAGACATTGGCGCAAGCAAATTGCAATCGGACAGCTACGCGCTTAAGACACGTCATACGGTTCTGCTAATATACCATTAGCACCGATTACAATACTCTTTTAGACAGATACGATGAGAGTAGGACGACTTTATCATCTTCACGCGAAATATCACTCGCTCAAATCTATCTGAAGGAAGAAGGATCGAACTTTGGCGGCTATCGACTCGATCTATATACCTGCTGTGTTGTGACGTAAATGGGTTTGTTTATGATGATCCACGTGACCGTCTCCTGACATCCAGGCGTTGTAGTCGATCCTTCGTATGTTATGTACTGCTGCGTATCCGGCAGCATCTCGCTCACAGACACGTAAGAAGCTGGCACTCTTTGGTCTAGAAACAATAAAAGTTGCACTGAACGTAGAAACGGAAAACTACTATTGCGCGCTCACCGTCGCAATAAAGGTCTGTAAGCCGCTAAATAAATGAAGTCTAACACGTGCATCTGCATGCGCGGGTGTGACCCTGCCACGTTCTGAGGAATGTACAAGGAATACACGAGGTATATATAGATAGTTACATAGATATACAAATCGTTAAGAGCATCTGCTTTCTCGGGTCTGACCCTGCCACTTTCTAAGGAACGCAGAAGGACTATATGAGATATACAGGTACATAGATATACAGAGCGTTAAGATATTATATGCATAGAGAAACACGTAAAAGGAAATTGCACAACGGCCGCTGCACGAGAGTGACATAGAAGACGTTGTAGCTCGTGTAACTTCTTTCGAAATTGATTACAAACATATTTGATGCACTCTTACATAGGTAGCGAATAACAGAGATACGATGGAACAAAAGTAAACAAAGCTATCAAAATGGATGCGATGCTATAATTTAACGCACACTTGCTAACATTTAAAAATGAAATCATGACAAACGTAACTGCACCCTTGTAAGGTCGATTAAATCCGTCATATACGCCAAATCGTAATTCATAAAAGGGACACAAAGCGAAAATCAACCCATAACCTTAGAAAGCCCGTATCTTCTTTAAACGGCTGGCGAACTGAAACGACTGAGTAAAAACGATGAAAAGATGTAACGCTACCCTGCGATTCAGCTGTGCGGAGCGGGGGAGGGGGCGTTCCGTAGTGTGACCTTGAAACCTTACGGCGCTTATCGTAAACGCTCGCCCGTCGAGAATAGCTCCGACGTGTGTCCAAGAGTTATAACTCGCCGGCACATTTGAATCGCACGACGCGCGATGGCAATTTTGGAACACCATACCGGCGCGTGAATATGTTTAGAACGTGAAGCGAAGCTTTTCTCGCCAAGCTCAGTCCCGATAACGAGGAGGGGGGAGGGAGGAAACTCTTTTCACTAGAAATCGTCCGCTATTCGTCCCCGCCCCCCGTAACTCCTCGGAAATGCGCCGCAAATTGAAAAATGATCAACATGAACGCTTTCTGTTGATAAATATCGGATTTTTCGGATTTTGACGGTTACTTATTTTTATGCGGGAACAAAGACGCCAAACGAAAGCCTGGCAAGCGAGCGAATCGTTTTCTTCTCGCGTTACAAGTCGACTATTAATTAATTTGGCTCCGAGATCCTGGAGAACTTTTTTTTCCGACGGGATAGTTCGGTTTGATCGACTATTAGCCCTGATTGCAAAGACAGTTCCGACGTTTGAACGTGTTGACGGAAACATCAGCTGTCGGGCCGCTGGGAAATATCAATGTCAGCGGAATGCCCGCGTGTACGCAGCAGGCCGTCGACGCTGTTGCTTCTCGTTCTTTTAATAACCAAAAACGAGACACAGCTATGGTCGAGACAGACAGAGAGAGAGAGAGAGGAAGAAAGTGAGAGAGGAGTAGAGAGAAAGACAGAGAGAGAGAGAGAGAGAGAGAGAGAAGAGAGAGAGAGAGAGTAGATAGATAGATAGATAGATAGATAGTAGATAGATAGATAGATAGATTAGAATAGATAGATAGGATAGATAGAGATAGAGAGACGAAAGGAGTATATATATTATATTCGCTATATATATTGATATATATATATATATATATATATATATATCTATATAATATATATATATATAGAGAGAGAGAGAGAGAGAAGAGAGACGAGAGATAGAGAGACGAGAGAGAAAGAGAGAGAGAGAGAGAGAGAGAGAGAGAGAGAGAGAAGAGAGAGAGAGAGAGAAAGAGAGAGAGAGAGAAGGGCAGAGAGAGAGCAGAGAGAGAGAGAGAGGAAGAGAGAGATAGAGTAGAGAAAGAGAGAGAGAGAGAGAGAGCAAGAGAGGGAGAGGAGAGAGAGAGAGAGAGAGGAGAGAGAGAAGAGAGAGAGGGGAGGATAGAGATAGACGAAAGATAGAGAGAGAGAGAGAGAGAGAGAGAGAGAGAGAGAGAGAGAGGGGAGGGGAGAGAGATAGAGAGAGAGGAGTAGATAGATTGCTTTACCTTTATAAATTATTTCAGTGATGTTTTCGATGAGAAGGGTTAATTCTTGATTACGCGTCTTTCCAACCTGTAAAGATGTAGAGCCGGACATTTATTACGTGTGTATACGACCCCCTTACAATGATCGAAAACGTCAAAGAACGACCCATAAAGCAATTTCTCAATGGCATTTGATCGCAGTGCCTCTATCGTGCTTGAGTGTGCGCGCTTGACGTTTCTGCTTTTATTAAAACATTAAATATTTAAAACATTTATAAGCAGAAAACTCGTCATATTCCGTTCGCGTTAAATTAAAAAAAAAACCGCAAAGGAAAACATTCGAAGCATAGCAATCGCGATTGTGCTTTTGTCCGGCCGCTAGGAAATTTTTAGTGAAAGCCAAGAGTCTCAATCGCTCGTTGTGGATGTACGTCCGCTAGAGGCACACGTCACATTCACATTCCCGTTACGACGGACATCTTCTAAGACGAGTTATTCGAACGATGTATGGGCACGTATTACCATATGATGTATATGCCAATTTCCTACACATGCACTTGGCATGTGTGGAGTATTGAAACATGTTATTTAAGCGGTCATGGCGAATACGACAAAATGATTGCTGATTTTCTACATTTATATACATACAAATAACAAGCATAAAAGAAATAATGGAAAGACATACGGCGGTTTCTCGTATTTCGATGGTGACGTATACTTTGTATGCGCCTATTCCATATGCATGGGTTCTGCATTATGTAGAATATAATATTATATACATATATATATATGTTTTATTATATATTATGCATATAATAATATATACATTATATAATAATGTTATATTATGTCGGCGGTAAGCGTTTACAGCTCTTTATCAAATGAATATATGGTTGAAACTTAGCTGGTTATAGGTTTAATCTAGCTATATAATAACACAACACACCAAATACACGTTCGATATTTTGTTCGTTATAACCACAAATGATTTTCACGGATCATTTTAAATTAATAATTGTTTGCCGAATGGATACGTACAAGGAATATCACTATTTACCGTGCAAGGATCTGAAGCGTGTTGTGTGTGTGTGTGCGCGCGCGCGCGCGTGTGTGTGTGTGTGTGTGTGTGTGTGTGTGTGTGTGTGT